CCATGTTCAAATCCCAGCACCTACCTGCATGGCAGCTCCCAACTGTGTGTAATCCCAAGATCTGACACCCTCACACAGACATACATACAAGCAAAACACCAATGTACATAAAATAAAAATAAATAAATTATTAAAAAAAAACACTTTTGATTAGTTTTAAAACTGATAAAATTCTGTTTCTATCCATATTTCAAATGGTAAAAAATAAAAGCCATGTGAGGCTAGTGGCTGCCATGCTGGACACAGCAACTCTTTCCCACATCCCTGTAGTGGGTCCCATGTCCCACTGCTTTCCCCTGTGCTCATTCTGTTCCAGCGCTAGTGGCTCCTGGTCTTTCATAATATTGACATACATAATTGTATTTCAGAGCCTTGTGTTGATTTCTCTCTTGGTCTGTAAGGACCTGCCCTTCTCTAGGCCTGTGCTCAAATATCACGTTCTCATCAGTACTGAGTAGTACCTGGACTAGTTATCTTCCTTCTTAGCTTTTCATTTCCAAGCTGCTCCCTGAAGAAACAAGAACTATGGAGAGAGGGGCTCCATCTACAGAGAAAAGCAGTGAAATGCAAGACTTGTTCCATGCAGGCCCTGGGCATGAATATGTTAGGAAAAGCTTGTATCCTCTGAGCTTGCTTCCTGTCACATTGGCTTATGGGATCATCTTTTTGTGTGCATGACCGACTTCTTACAGATTGGAAGCCTTTTAGAAGGCTCTTCCTTCAGTGTCCTTGGCATCTTCTTTGGCATGTAACAGAACTTTGAGCAAAAGGCAATGTGAAATACTGAATGGTGAGTCACACCGGTACCCTTTTATCATTTACAGTCTGCAGTCATCTCTCTACCCTCTGTTCTTTTCCAGTGGCAGCAGCTTGACAGGCATCCTTGAAAGTTCCTGTTTTGGCTTTACAGGTTCTGTGACTGTGATCCAAACGTTGGCTGTCTTCCCGTATCCGCTCTGTTGCACAGTACTCATTCTCTGAGACTAGTCCTTGCAGTGTGTACATAAACTTCTGCTTTCGTATTTCTAGTAGCAAACACAAAGATGTAAACCATGGGCCTGAGTTCTTCATCTTTAACGTGTTCCTCACTACTGTACTTGGCGTGTTGAATGAACCAGGCACAGAACAGGAACGAGTTGCTATTATAGGAGGACAGTTCGAATAATTTAACAATTTTGAAAGAGAATTGCACAGTTGGCCAGGGCACACTCACTACTTTATCATTTAAAAACTTACTAGAAAGCTGTGGCAACCAGCACTGGCACTGGCACAAGACTATGTAGATTAAGGAAAACCAAGAATAGGAATAAATCTGGGATTGAGAGATGGCTCAGAGGTTAAGAGCACTGACTGTTCTTCCAGAGGTCCTGAGTTCAATTCCCAGCAACCACATGGTGGCTCACAAGCATCTGTAATGACATCTGGTGCCCTCTTTTGGCCTGCGGGCATGCATGCAGATAGAACACTGTATATATAATAAATAAATCTTTAAAAAAAAAAAAAAGAATAGGAATAAATCAACTCAGCCCCTGTCAATAGGATTTTTGATAAGGACACCAAGATATTCAATGGATAAATAGTGTCTTTCTACAAATGGTACTAAGACAACCAGATATTCACACTCTTTAAAAAGTGGGAGGAATTCATTTGAGTTAAGATACGTAATCTGTGTACCATACCTTTTTCTTCTCTTGGTTTTTAAACATATTGAGAGGCAACAGAAGACACACAGCTTGGAGTAAAGGGGTGAGCTGTAAAACCAAATGTCAGCTCCAGGGTGGGAGAGTCTCAGAGTTTGAGAAGTCCAGAAGAGCTCACTATTAGAAAGTCAGGAAATGGGTGGGGGGTGGGGAGATGGCTCAGCTGGTAAAGTGTTCCCTTCAAGAAGGAGGACCTGAGTTCAGGTCCCTGCACCTAAGTAAAATGCTGGACATGGTGGTGTACACTGTAATTCTAGCTCTGGGGAAGTAGAGGCAGGAGGATCCCTGAAGCTTGCTGACCAACTAACTAGTCTTGTCAAATTGGTGGCCTCCAATGTTCGGTTAGAAACCCTATCTAAATGGGGTGGTATAAGTTTTCTGTTTGTTTTACAGATTTGCTCAATTTACCCTAGCTGAGAGTTCTTTTATTTATTTTTTTGTTTTATGTGTATGGATGTTTTGCCTGCATATATATGTATAGCATCTCCAGAGCTAATTTTGGTGGTGTAGAAGTGTTAAGCTAGAGCTGTGTTGTGGTAGTTAGCTCTTCCACTAATTCAGGACTCTGAGGAAACTGGAAAAGTTTCTTTCTCCCAGTAACACCTTGTTCTAATGGATGGCAGTACATAAGCACATTCCAACAGACAAGAGAAAACGAGCAAGGAACAAAAGTACTTTTCTCTAGTTCTACAATATATTGTTTTAAATAATGTTACATACTGATTTCTCTAGTTCTTCAATATACGGTTTTAAATGACGTTACATACTGAAAATTAAATGTAAATGAACACCCAATAAAACATATTACAAGATATTGCATAATAAAAAGAGCACATCCCACAGTACAAATAAGAGGTAAGTATCTCCCTAACTACTTTTTTTTTTTTTTTTTTTGAGAGAGAGAGAGGGCCTTACTGTGTAGCCCAGGTTGGCTTCCTTCTGCCTCATCATCTCTGCAGCTGGGGTTATAGGCATGTGCTACCTGATGCCTCTTATTCTATGTATTCTAGCTCTACCAAGTATTCTCTGTATTTCCAACTCTACCAAGTGCCATCCAGTTCAGACTAGACAGCACTATTGGAGTTACGAATTCCTCTTTGAATTGTTTCCTTTCTGAGGTACTGCCACCACCCACCATTACGCTTTATCTTGGTCAGCTTGTTAGGTATGATGCTCCCTGCTCTGTTTGCCGGGATTCCCTTGCACCTCTGGCCAGGAGCTCTTCTCTCCTGTAGTGTGTACTGTACAGAAGCATGGGCCCTCAGTGTCACTCACACACACACATATAGCATCCAGCTGTCCGTGGAGAACACGCTCTCCTGCTGTCAGAGCCTGTGGGACTCAGCACAAAAGGCTCAGTGCTAGTTATGTTTCTAGTGGAGCCTAGTGTCCTTTTTCTCCCCTAACCTACAGGTTTTTCTCAGAGTGATTTGAAAGACCAATTACAAAAAAATAGTATCCTCCTTTAGTTCTAACTTTTAAATGAACCGAGTTATGTGCCTTGTTGATTTCTCAAATTCCTTTACCGGTTTCAGTACCAAACTTAGGAGTGTTTTATGTCATGGATTTTCTATCCTTTTTTTTTTTTACCCTTTAAATTGGGTGCTCTTAAAAAAAACAAATGGCCACTGGCATCTTGAGTTGAACACTGTAGTTTCTAGTTATTTTGATAACTAAGGGAAAAAAAATTCCCTGCTAACAGTAGCATATGAGGGAGCATATAAAATGTGTTCTGGAAGGAGCCCTGTTCTCTTCCTTAAGGTAGACTGTTTAGCGATTTGGTGTTGTGGGTGATGCTATGAATTTGTGATTTGCATGGCTTCAGATGTCATCATTTTTCCCCTACTTTCTAGGAAGTAACAGCTAGCAGTCGCCACTATGTTGACAGGCTATTTGACCCTGATCCCCAGAAAGTTCTCCAAGGTGTCATGTAAGTAGTATGCATTTAAGACTCTATGAAAAAGTCTTGTTTGTCTTCATGTTTTAATCTGACAAATAATATAATTATGAAAATGCAGGTATAACTTCTTTTCTTCCATTTGACTTCATTTATGAGATGAGTGCTTGACATTCATGACAGTATTTTATTATAAAACTTTGTCTGTTGGTAGTTATTAACTAACATGATTGGCTTCATTTTTTGTGGAGCCCTTGTTTTCTATTTTAAAATGTTTCCTTTGGGGAATGCTTTTGCTTTTAATATCTACAAAAGCGAGATAAAAATTGATAGTTAATCTTTGGAAAGCAGTGGGAGAAGAGTTTAGTAGGCGTTTGTTGTTGTTTTGCTTTATTTTTTTGGTTAACTCATTAACTGTCATCAGAATTTCCTAGTGATGAAAACCTAAATATCAACATTTAGAGAGCAGTCCTTAGAAAATTTAAGTTCCTGATAACAGAGAGCATGAATAGCCTTCCTCAATGAGGGGAAATATTTTTAATCAACACATTGTAGGTGATTGGTTTTAAGATTAAAGTTGGGCAAATGGGATAAGACTTCAAGTGACTGAAAAGTGAATGTCCTGTACTTTTGAGGTTCAGTGGCTTTTCCTTTAACATCTTAGTTCTGAGGAAGAAGATCTAGCCTAAGGCGGGAAGCATAGGACCTACAGGCCTCAGTTCTGGGGAAGACACAAGGTTCAAAAGAGGTTAAGGATGAAGTGCATTTGGGGTAGCCATCAGGCCACAAGCACATGAGTCTCTTTCCTTCCTCTTCCCTTACTAATGTTTTCAGTCAAATAGTACTTCAAGCTTTATTCTTGCTCGGCCATAGTAAGCTGAGATGTTTTGCTTACAGCCTTTCTTTTGACTATAATTCTCTCTCTCTCTTTTTTTTTTTTTTAAATAATGACATGTGGTCGGGCAATGGTGGCACACCTTTAGTTCCAGTACACCAGCACTCAGAAGGCAGAGGTAGGCAGATCAACATGAGTTCAATGCCAGCCTAGTCTACAAAGCAAGGTCCCAGATAGCCAGGGCTATACAGAGAAACCCTGTCTTGAAAAATCAAAAACCAAACCAAACCAAAATTACATGTGGGGTTGGGGATTTAGCTCAGTTGGTTCGGTCCTTAGCTCCGGGGTGGGGGGAATTACATTATGTGTGTGTGTGCCTGAGTGTGTATGTGTGCACTATATGCATGCAAGTACCTTTCGGAAGCCAGAAGAGGGTGTTGGATTCCTGAAATTGGAGGTACAGGTGCTTGTGAGCCACCCATTGTGGGCTCTGGGAAAGGACCACCCCCCCACCCCCCACCCCCACCCCCTGCCTCTGCAAGAACAGCAGGTGCTTTTAACTGCTGAGCCATCTCCCCAGCCCTTGGGTGTAATTCTTACTCAAAGCCAGAAAAGCTGGCTGGAACTCAGAATATTTGACACTGTTTTTGCCCTTTGTTTTAGAGAAACAAGAAGAGATGAGACCCTCTGCTCGTGTTAACTTTGCTTTTGCCCCCTTAACTGAGAGAATTTATGATGGTTTAGTCAGCTCTCTTACAGACTAGTTTGAGTGGTATCAGAAAAAGTGGTAGAAAAGCCTCCATTGAGTTTTAGTTAAGAGGGAAGTTTAAGAGACGTTCTGGCCCAGAGTCGCTGCGGTTTCCTGCTTCAACAGTGCTTGAACGGAACCTGGCGCTCGACCCTTCCGACCCCAGCCGGCTGCTCCGATCCAGAACCCTTTGCAACTTCGTCGCTTCGCCTCGCCCAGCCGCTGCCATGACCACCACGTCTCCCTCGCAAGTGCGCCAGAACTACCACCAGGACTCAGAGGCTGCCATCAACCGCCAGATCAACCTGGAACTGTATGCCTCCTACGTCCATCTGTCTATGTCTTGCTACTTCGACCGGAATGATGTAGCTCTGAGGGACTTTGCCAAATACTTTCTCCACCAATCTCACGAGGAGAGGGAGCATGCTGAGAAACTGATGAAGCTACAGAACCAACGAGGTAGCCGAATCTTCCTGCAGGATATCAAGAAACCAGACCGTGATGACTGGGAGAACGGGCTGAATGCAGTGGCGTGTACTCTGCACTTGGAGAAGAGTGTGAGTCAGTCACTACTGGAACTGCACAAACTGGCTACTGACAAGAATGATCCCCACTTGTGTGACTTCACTGAGACCCATTACCTGAACGAGCAGGTGAAATCCATCAAGGAACTGGGTGACCACGTGACCAACCTCGGCAAGATGGGAGCCCCTGAAGCCAGCCTGGCGGAACATCTCTTTGACAAGCACACCCGGGACACAGTGATGAGAGCTAAGCTGACTTCCCCAAAGCCACAAGTGACTTCTCTGGTCACTGAGGCCGTGCATGCATGTCGGGCTGCCTTTATCTTTTCTAAAAGTCACACCAAAACATCCGCTTAAGTTCTTTAATTTGTACCATTTCTTCAAATAAAGAATTTTGGTACCCCCCCCCCCAAAAAAAGAGGGAGGTTTAAATAACATAGGTCTTTAGACAAGACAGACACTCCCTCCACGGACCAGACAGCTCTCTAGATAGAGAATACTAAATATTCCTTAGGATTCTTCAGTTTAGTTGAAGACGCTCATTGAGTATTCAGTATATAGTAGAAGATGATACTTTCATCATTATTACTGCTCGATAAGAGAAAGCTAGATTTATTTACTAGTTAGTGATCCTTCCCGATAAACTTTTATCCTGGGTTCTCTCTGATGTGAGTAACTAAACTCAGGAAAATTTAAATTTACTAAAGACCACTAGAGCTTTCGAAAAGTTGACAAGTGAGAGAGCTGAAGAGTAAGGGATGCAAGAAAAAGAGGAACACTCATTGTAAGAAAGCAGCTTAAGTGTAATGTGAAGGCCTTCGTACCTCTTGAAAAGCTGTGGAGTCTAAGCTGTCAGGTTAGGCAGACAAAGGAGAGTTGTCTATATGAGGGAGTGGATTGAGCATGGGTGTAGCTAGAGTTTTCCTGCCTGGCCCACAGTCAGGACAAATCTCTGTCACTCGCCAGTCCCACAGCCACTCAGACCTGACCAAGTAAACACAGAGACTTATATTGGTTACAAACTGTATGGCCGTGGCAGGCTTCTTGCTAACTGTTCTTACAGCTTAAATTAATCCATTTCTATAAATCTATACCTTGCCACATGGCTCGTGGCTTACTGGCATCTTCACATGCTGTTTGTCATCATGGCAGCTGGCAGTGTCTCTCTGACTCAGCCTTCCACTTCCCAGCTTTATTCTCCTCCTTGTCCCACCTATACTTCCTGCCTAGCCAATGGCCAATCAGTGTTTTATTTATTGACTAATCAGCAACACATTTGCCATACAGAACATCCCACAGCACATGGGCACTGGAGTTGGCCAACAGTAGGTTAAATCGCTGGTTGTGACATTTCCTGGTAGGGTCCTTTCCTGTCTGTATGTTTAGGCCAATTACTCAATTTCCCTGAACCTTTATTTTGTCATCTTAAAGAGAAAATAGCCACCTACCCTGCCAGGTTGTGGTGAGAAGTAACTCAGAAATATAAAATTCAATGCCTGGAGTGTTGTGGATGCCACCTGTTGTCATTTAAGTGGTCAGTTGTTACTGGCCTAGTTTAAAATAACTTTAAAAATGACCTAAAGGGGCATTGATTGTCTTCCCGAGTCTCCCCTCTGCTTTGTGGAGGTTCTTTCTCTCTGTGTGTTCGTTGTATGTGTGTGTTTTCTCACCCTCCCTAATAAACGCCTTTCTTCAACTGATGGAAAAAAGATATGAGTCTCTTCAGAAAATAGAAAGGAAAGTTCAAGTCAAAATCAGAAACAATTCAGTTTGAACTGAAGAGAAGGCAGGGGTGGGGGGGGGGGGTGGAGGGAGGGGGGAACCAGAGTGCTTGATTCAGGTGAGAAAGTGCAAGTGCTAAGTAAGATGCTCCAGGAGCAGTGGTGGCCGCTTAAGTCTGTTATACTTTCAGAGGAACACTTCGCCAACCATTGTTTTCCACTCCATTTCAAAAGCATATTTACTGAGATTCTGATAAAGCTTTTTTCTCTATACACAAATATTTATTTTTCCTGAACAGTGTCACTGTCTGAAAATTATAACAAATTAGAGAGTAAAAAGTGAATTATATTTTTAATGTTTATTTTTAGATATATTTGTTCAGTACAATATTGATAGAGGAAAAAGGGAACCACAATGATATTTAGGAAAAGGTGCACATTTCATAACATTACATAGGAGTCATATTGGATACAATCGGTATCTAGAGGAAAATATCTAGAATAGAACTAACGAAAGATAACCTTTTAGTTTTAGGGGAGGAATAGGCAGAAACGGAAGTAAACAGTTGCAAATCCAAAATCCAAATGGAGAAACAAAAATAATTGATAAGAACTATAGCTTAATCTATAAGCCAACTGACTTTTATTTTTCTAGCTCTATTAAATTTATTTTTTCTCACAAAAATTATGAATATAAATAACATAGGAAAAACAAAGTTGAAGAAATTAAACATAAACAATGTATTTTCATCATAGCCTATTAACTATTGACGTGGCTGTGAATATAGAAAGCGGCTATATAGATAATGCAGAGTGTAAAGGAGCATGTTACCTAATCGGTAAGTGCAGCCTTATTGGAAAAGTTGTATTAAGAATCAGTACTACTTGGCAGTTGTTAAAGAATGAACAATTATCTTTTTTTTTTTTTTTTTTTTTTTTTTTTTTTTTTTTTTTTTTGGTTTTTCAAGACATGGTTTCTCTGTGTAGCTCTGGCTGTCCTGGAACTAGCTCTGTTAGCCAGGCTGGTTTCGAACTCTCAGAGATCCTCCACCTCTGCCTCCCAAGTGCCAGGACTAAAGGTGTGCACCACCACTGCCCAGCTGCATCTTAAAGTCTAATTTGTATTACTTTTTGTTTGTTTTGTTTTTCAAGACAGGGTCTCTCTGTGTAGCTGTGCTATCCTGGAACTAACTCTGTAGACCAGGCTGGCCTCGAACTTAGAGATGAATGGTTATCTAATGTAACTTTTTGTTGCTAGTTTAACATTCAGCATAAATTTGGATGATCCTCCTGTATCAAAGACTTGAATACAGAAACCAATGCTTTTTTTCCCTCAAAAAGAGCAAAGTTTCAAATGTATAACTGGACAGAAGATAATTAGGTATGGCATGAGATATATGCAGATGGGGGTGGCACTCCTGTAGGTCATGAATTGTAGTAGAATTTTCAGTTGCAAAAGGGAATAGGCATACTAGACAGACGGGACTACATTGCAAATTCTGAGCTTTCTCTAGTGTAGAGATCTTTATGTGACTTTAAACAATTGTAGAAATGGAACATGGTACTAGTGAGTACCCATAATTCTAGTGCACAGGGGCAGAGGCAGGAAGAACTTGAGTTGGAAGCCAACTTTGGTATATAGCAAGTTCAGGGTCAGCCTGGGCTATGTGATTCCATACCTCAAAACAACGGCAGCAAACAAAAGACAGTTGCAGTACAATTTTTGGCAAGATTGTTGTGGTATTGGTTCAACTGTCTTAAATCTCATAGTTGAAGAAATGTTCAAAATTTTGTAGATCATGAATCAAAACTACTTAAATGACTCCCCTCCTTCCCCCATGTTCAAAACATCTCAACTAGGCTCCTGGCCTGGTTTTTATTTGAGTAGTTCTTTAAAAGATGAGTGATACTTCCATGTGGCTATGCATTTATGTTCCTATGTTGAAAGGCAAAGGTGATATGAACAAACATGGCTGCTGGCTCTGTGGTTTCAAGGTTGAGTAGAATCAGAGCTGGCCTAGATTCCTCCGTAATTCACAGGTAATTGTCAATGTATGAATTGTGAAGTTCTCACTAAGAACTGGTTTCTAAAGTGCTTTTAAAGTATTTTAATGTACTAATGAGATGAGATGGTTTTGGTAATAATTACTGTTTTCTGGCTCTAGAAACAATATGGCTCTGCTTTTGATACAGACAGGGTCTTCTGTTTTTGTTAAATGAACCAGAATTAGCAGTTCACATAAAAACAAAATATTTGTTTCTTGAGAATTTTAAGTTACAGGGTTAACTTTTTGGTCAATAAATATGTATAAAGTAATAGTATACCAGAGAAGCAGTGTTATAGAGTAATCCTGAGTCTTAAAAGTAGTGCTCTAAAATGGAACTTAGCCTGGGAGTTATGGCTAACAATGAGATTGCCATAGTTTATTAGCTCAACTTGACATCGTCTATGCTGCTGTAGAAACACCTCTTTCAATGTGTATATGTGTGATGCTGATTTTGAAGACCTGCTATGTATCTATTTATATATAATACATCTTTTCATATGTACAGGGCACGTATTTGCTGCCACATTATTCTGTAGTGTTCTAACATACTCTGTGATGTTCTTTAGAATGATTAGATTTAAAATATTAATATGCTTCAAAATGTTGAACATTTGTTACATAGTTATTAAGTTGTATACTTTTTTTGAAGAAAATAAGGTGATCTGCAGTCATGTTGGTAAAACAGAGTTAAATCCAGTAAATAGTCTAATTTCTGAGGCAGTATGTAATTTTCAGAATTGTTCATTCATTAGGGGTAGATATGATCAAGATATATTGTATACATGTATGAAATTATCAAAAATAAATAAAAGATGTTCTAAAATATTTATTTACTAAGGAACCTTAAGATGCTATAGAAAAATTATATATTTACTGTAAAATATTTTAATTTTATGGAAGTTTCTGAAATTATATTTTAAATATCTTCATCACAGAGTAATTTATAAGAATAAGCTAATTGCTGCCAGTTTTCAGGCCTATTCTGTTTGCACATATGATAGGAGTATGGTTTGTGCTTTAAGTTGACTTGAGCCAAGTGTCCTATGAAAAGTTTGCTTCCTTGGCCTGAGGATGCAGCTTGGTGATAGAGGGGACTTGTTTAGCATACACAAGGCCTGGTTTGATCTCAGAACTGGAAAAATAAATTGATTTTGATTCAAACTTATACGTAATAAATCATCATTGAGCTCATTTTTAAATTCTTTTTGGTGCTGAGGATTGACCCTAGTTGAGTACTCTCCTAGTCCCTAAATTCTGATTAACGTAGCAGCTTCCGAAAGGCTAGTGGTTAATCTGAAATATAAATAGTGTTTAATTGGGATGTGAATATATGTACCTCATTTTCTAGCTATGCTTAGAAATTGAAAGCTCAGCTAGGCATGGTGACACATTCCTTTAGTCCCAGCACTCAGGAGGTAGAGACAGGCAGATCTCTGAGTTTGAGGCCAGCCAGGACTACACAGAGAAACCATGCCTCAAAAAACAAAGCTGAAAAACAAACAAACAAAACCAAAAAAGGGAAGAAATCAGAAGCTCATCATACTTGGATGATGTAATAAGATGGATTACATTGCTGTCATTTTTGAAGACACTGCTTTATTCTTAGCTACCCACAACTATGTGGGATTTTTCTTTCGTATTTTACAGCTTATTGTCTTTGATATCGAGAGTTTGTAAGTGGACCAAACCATATACTCAGACTATAGTTTTTGTGTCCAACATACTATTTGGCCATTTCTTACCATTTAGAACAAAAATGATTGTAAAATAGTATTTTCTTCTAAATGAGAGCTGTCTCAAATAATTGAGAAATAGCACTGGTTCAGAATGAAACTGGTGTAGCTGATCTTTAGTCTGGAACTCTAACCTTAAATGTTACTTTATTTTTAGGCGATAATAGGTTCACCTTTATTCTATCTTTTGACTATTTAGAAATAAATATAGGCTTATTCCTGATTGAAATTTTGTTTCTTCAGCAGCTCTAGATTTCAATTCTTTTTTCTTTCTTTTCTGCCACTATTTTAACAGCAAGGTATACTGTTTACTTTCTCTCTATGTTGTATTTAAATGTCTGCATGGTAGGCACTATACATTGCATTTAATGTTTGAGCCTTTTGTCTCTAATCTCTTTCAGAGCAAAGAAAAGGGAAGTAAAGTAGAAAGTTTAATCTCCATGTAATACTCAGTGTCTCCTAAAACCGTTCATTGGTGTGCGGAATCGAGATTGTAGCTGAACTCTTTTCCTGTCAAATGCATTAAGGTGCACTTTGTGATGTTTTAAGACCGACTCCTCCCATCCCCCAAAATGGGGTATCTCCAAAACATGTGTTTTAAACTTTTCTACCTGGATGTTCTTCTTCTGTTTGTTTTTTTGTTTTGTTTTTAGTATTTATTTTTTGACAGTTTAATGCATGTAAACAATGTATCTTGATCATACCCACCATACATAGGTCTTCTTATTTTAATTTTAACTTAGTATGTCTGAAATCAGAGTAGATCTTTGTTTTGCTGAGGGATTTCCTCTTTAGGCTTCTTATGTTTTATTATTCCCAAATGTGAAAGAGTTTGTGAACCTGCCAAGTGTCACGCACTGTCCTGTGAATGTACATAATAGTGAATATGGCTTCTGTCTAGGGAGTCAGAAGCCTAATGGAGTCAAGTAACTCCAGACACAGTCAGCCTCCTTTTATGTGATTACAGAGTACCACGATGATGATGGGTGTCGTCACTTAGTTGCCCCTCTGGACTTCAGTCTCGTCAGCGTACCAGCCTCTCTACATTTAGCTTACCTTCTTCCTTAGGCACTGCTTTCTTCATGCCACTTCAGTGATCCAAGTCACAGTTACTCCCTGATCCTCTCCTAGTCTCTCTCCTTCCTGTCACTTTGGGTTCATGCCACCCTGAGGTGAACCTTCTTTTTTCAGTCGATGTTCCTTCCGTCTTCACGTCCATCGTAATCTACCAATAGCTTCTTTGGCTCTTGCCATCTGCTCACTCCGTT